TAAAAATGTTTTAAATAAATAAATAAACCCCCAGGATAGCCACCAGGGGTCTGGCTTCCAGTGGCTGTGGCCAGCAAGTAAGTGAGGGCTTCAATCTTAGAAATGGTGGGTACAACTGGCCGCCTTTATTTTGAAGAGAAAACCAAAGCATTGGCACAGCCCAGATCTGGAACATGATCTCGATCAAGGGCCACCACCAAGTGCCTTCCCAAGAAATCTACGCCCTGGGCTGCCCTGGGAGATTTTCAGCAGAACATGAATTCAGGGGCCTGATCTGCATTAGAAGCAGGTTCCCAAACTGTCAAAACTGACATTATCTGTGTAAGTTGATAGTAGAAACCCCCAGGTGACGAAAATGACAGTGGCCGGTTAAACCACTCTGAAAAGAGAAGAGCGTGGAGAACACGCTGAAGCGCTGACACACAGCTTCCCTTATTATCAAGCCTCCTTTGACAACAGCACGGGAAAAAGCCCCCCTGAGACTGCACTAATTAATCTAGTTAATGAACTCCCCAAAGCTTTCAGAAGTGCACATCACTGCACCTGGCATTTCTATATGCCTTTTAAGTGTTCAGAGCATAAAAGAACGCAAGAAAAGCCCGACATGGGGATGTCATGACCTCTTTCAGAGCTGGGGGAGCAAGGTAAGAGGGCCATGGCCAAAACACCGGGAACACCCGCCTGTTTCCACGCCAAGCTCTTCCCCCCAGCCACTCAAGAGCCATTTCTACCTTTCCGAACGGGGAGAAAACGGCACAAAATCACACGAGGTTTGGTGGTTGGAGAAACCAGATGGGAGCAGAGAGGTGCACAGAGCCATTTAGCCCCCCCCCCCCCACAAATGCGCTCACCAGGATTCAGAGACATGCTGGTTCTCATCCTGGGGGTTATATATCACCAGGTGGACCAGCAGCCCATTGAATGCCTTCTCCTCCATGAATTTGTCCAACCAACTCCCAACGCAGTCTAAATTGGTTCCACGCCCAACATGGACAAAGTCTTCTTCTTTCTGTCCTGCATCTCTCGGCATCCCTGCATCTTGTCCCCTTCCCTTGATATGGACACCATCACACCCTACACAGGGCTGCCACCCCACAGAGCTCTCTCTCTCTCTCTGATTTCTGCTTGGGTGCTGACTGTGCTGACTGCCCATCCGCCATCGTCAATAATAGAACTGCTTCCCAATCAATGCTCCTAAGTTGGCGCCTCCCAGACATTCTGGACTGCGACTCCCATTTCTCACAGTCAGCCCGAGGAAAGGCCAGGGATGATGGGAGTGGTTCTCCAGAGCATCTTGAGGATGACAGCCTGAGGAAGACGGCGCCCACTTATAAGCTTTCGCACCTCCATCAGCATAAGCGAGAGGTCCTGCCTTGAGCAGGAAAAGACATCCGCCAAAGAAAGCAAAAGGAAGTGGGTTGCACGTGTGGCTGAGGGACGAAGGGACAAATGCTTCAGCCCGGGAATGAAGACTGAGGATGAGCTGGAGGACTTGAACCCAGAACATTCAGATCCTCAGTTATTCCACCTCCCCATGAAGATTCCCACTTACTCCCAACCCATTTTGTGGCCTCCAAAAAGCATCACATCTTGGCAGCACTCAGTGCTTTCAAAGAAACATAGGAACAGTCAGAAGGGGCCTCCTGGGCCATCTAGTCTGACCCCCGGCTCCAGCCGGCTCCACTCACGAAATGCCCACCATGTGCATGTCCAGCCTGTCCTTGAACACCCTCACCGATGGGGCCTCGACCACCTCCCGTGGAAGCCCATTCCTGCAAAATCTTGCCCCCCCCCCCCGTTCATGCAGAAGGCAGGCAACTTTCCCATAAATAAACCTAACCAGAGCACAAGCGGGAAGCGGAGGAACCTTTGCCAACAGCGCCCTCAGAAGCTTGGATGCCCCACGTGGGCCAGTCGTGGTGTAGCGTCACCATCTTAGTGAGAACCATGTCCGGGTCTGCTGGTAGGAAGGAAAAGCCTTTACACGGCAGGGCAGGGCAGGGAGAAACACCGCAGGGGCTGAATTCAGCTGTGGAGAAGTCTTGGCCACAGTGGTGGGCAGGGCTATGGACAAAGGGGGTGGGGCAAAGGGCGAAAATCCCCTCCCAGCGTGGCTCGGATCACGGGGAGACTGAACTGCAGTGGCCTTCCAGCCCACGTACGTCAAGGAGTCGTCTGTGACCAGGGCAGCCTTCAAAGGCACAGTCATTTGGGGAAAGGAGACCCTGAGATGCACCGCACAGGATGCGACCGACTCTGGTGCCGCTGTGGATCAACGTTGCCTCCAGTACCAAGCAGGAACAAGTGTGAAAGCAGCCTTCCCCAACTGTGTGCCCCCCAGACCCATTTGGACAGTGACACCCAGAATTCCCAGTCAGTGACCCTGTTAGAAGAGAATTCTGGGAGCCCAAATGCCTCTGAAGGCCGCCAGGGTGGGGAAGCCTGCATAAAAGCATCGGTAGTCCAAAGCCAGCCTGACCCTATGTAAGATCATTTGTATCACACCACAGGTTTCGAGGGAAGAAAAGAAAAAGGAGAGAAAGAAGGCAATGCAGCTGCTAAACATGTACATCACTTTTCTGCATCCAGCCAAAGCAGAGGCTGCCCCCCCTCAACACATCTGCATTTGCATTTGTGGTGCCAAAACCCTGGACTGGCTGGCTGTGTGTGACGGCACAGAATGTTCACAAACATTCCAGCTTCCTACAGACAGAGCTATTGGAACGTCTGCAGCTCAAATTATCTGATGGGAGGGCAAGCAGATATAAAACCTCAGGAGGCCACGTCTCCTGACCTCCTGTCATGTTCCCCCTCCAACTTTCTCCCTGCCACTTTTCCAAGAACTTCTAATTTTGTCTATGGCTCCACACCCACCACTTAATATTGGGTCCCAGATAACACATCCCAGTCCAGCTCATTTTTCTACCATCAGCAACATTCCCATCTGTTTCATCACTTTTGCATCACTGACTTTGCAGAAACTAAGTTTTGCTGGCACAGAAGCTCGGCTTCCGCTTGGCAGGCAGCTCGGACGTCTGTGGCACAGAAATCACGAACGCCCTGGCCAGCTGGGTGAGCACCTCGAGCTGGTAGCTATGACAATCCTTCCTTTTTATCACAGCTAAAGTAACACAGACAGTCCCCCCTTGGTGGTAGGGGGGCTTCTCCCGCACAAGCCCCCTTTCCAAGGAAGCCCACAAAGGCCTTCTGAAAAGCAGCGGGGGCCATCTAACCACCCCACTGCACAACCCCCACGGAAAAGCAAATGGGAACGGAAGGGAAAGACCTTCATCACAGCGGGCAAAGCCCCCGTGGAAAACTCTGCTGAACAAGCCCAGCAGGAATGCAGCAAGCTCGCAGCTCGGAGGAAGAAGCTGGGAGGAGCTTCAGCTGGGTAAAAGAGCACCTGATATGGATTTTTCCTCTACGGGCTCCACACCTTTGCTGCTAGTGATCCAGAGTGCCGCAGAAGGCATTTCTGGAGCGAGCACAACAGGCAGGGGGACCCACGACCCTCCCACCTCCAGCGGGACTTGTGCAGGACAAGATGTTTGGAAGCTCGCATCCACAAAGGCTTTCCCGTGCTTAAGACAAACGCTTTTCTGCCCACTCTTCGGGGTGCGGAGCAAGAACCAAAACTAGAAACTAGCTGACGCGCCTCCTTTGTGTCGCATAGACGCTCGAGCAGCCATGCCCAAAATACAGCAGGATAATGGTGCTGTTCCTGATGCGTTTGGTCCCAGCCCTTTCTACCATCCGACAGAGAGCCCTAACCGCATCGAGAGACACAGACTGCTCTCCTGCCTGGCCCATACCTGGCTCCGTGCCCACCTCGACCACCTCTAGCCTAGCGGCACCTCCGCTCGCGTCTCCTCCCCACCTTTGCCAAGGCTGTCAAAGTGACCTCTTCCAACCTCCCACGGAAAGATTCCGGCTGCGACAGCGGGAAACGCTGCATTTCAGGGATTAGAGTCATCCCTGCAGATACCTGTTGTGAGGGGGATGGCCAGATCCCCCCACAAAGCCCCATTTGGAAGCTGCAGTAATTAATCACTATATACTGGGAACTGGGGTTGTCTTTGTTAGCCCAAAGGAGGCTGCCCCGAACGACGCAGAAGGCTGAAGGGAGGCGCCGGCCAGCTGTCCCGCCTAGGACAGACTTTCTGAAGATGAAGATGGTGGTGGTGGTGGTGGTGATGATGATGATGGCAAAGCGACTGCTGCTGCGCCGCGACTCAGCCGCGCCGCCCCTTGGAGAGAGCCGGGCTTCGTGGCCTTAAACGGAGATGCCTCCCCGCTCGGGGGAAGATCCCTTCCCAGCGCTCGGTGCCATTCGAGCCGGCAGGGCCCCGATCCTTGCAGCGGCGCCCGGGGCACACAGGAAGGCGGCGCGGGGGGCTTCTCACACCGCACGGGGAGGCACGCGGCCCCCCTCCGCCCCCGCGGCGCGGGCTCCTTTGGAGGCGCGGAGGCCCGGATCCGAGCCCCCGGGACCGTCCCCCCGGGCAGCAGCCCGGCCACCGAGTGCGCGCACAGCCGGAACGCGCGCGGCCGTCCGCCCCGACCGCGAGAGCGCCTCGTTTGACCCCGTTTCCAGTATGCAGCCTAATCGATCGACTCCACCGATGCGGAAGAGTAACTTCCCGTCACCCGGTTCCTTCCACAGGGGGCTGCGCGGGGTGGGGAAGTCACTGTCCGTGGGAGAAACCTTGGATGAAAGGCGGAGAGGCTCAGGTGCGGCCACGATCCCTCCTCCCCGCTGCGTGGGGCCGGGTGCGCGCGCAAGCAGCGTGGCAGTTGGCGAGAGCGCTCTGCACGCGCTCAGAGGCACCCTCGGCGCCCCCGAAGAGACGCGGGTGGTGGCGCTGGCGAGCGGAAGCACCGCCCCGCACCCACTCCTCCTGCGGCCGGTGGGGCGGGTGCCGGCAGGGCTGCCCGCGGCGTCCCCCAGGCTCCCCCTCCCCGTGCGCGGCCCGATGCGCTCCCGCCGGATCGCTCACCAGCTGCCTCCGCAGCAGCAGGATGTTGTCCTCCAGGAACTTCTCCTCCAGGCTGCGAGGGGCGGCGGCCGCGGCGCCCTCGCCCGGCGGCGCCTCCGCCGAGCAGCTCCCCGCGAAGGCGGCGGCGGCGGCGGGCGAGGCTGCCAGCAGCCTCTTGACGCGCAGCTCCTGGCGCCGGCGGAGGAACTGCAGCTCGGCCAGCCCGGCGAGGGTGGCCTCCAGGCGCTCGCGGGTGCGCAGCCGCTCCGCCTCCGCCGCCTCGCCCCTGGCGCCCTCGCGCAGCCCGCGGGCATCGGGCTCCCTCGCCGCCGCCGCCGCCGCCGCCGCC